CCAGTGTGCTGAAGTGCAAACTCTTCAGTGGTGTTGCCCAATAGAGAGCATGAATTTGCAGTTTCTAAAATAAAAGACTGAAGACTTGTATCCGTCCGTGTGCTGAGAGTCTCCAGAAGAAAGAGAAGCAAAGTAAACATCTAACAACAGCTAGTTTTATTCAGTGTAATGTCTGTATCAACTATGGACTTCTATGAAAACCATTGTTCTGGTGAAGAAAGATCTGCATGACTCAAGGGAACCTTAGCCATGCCTAGAGGAGATGCTCCAAAAGAGCTTTTATCCATGTGCAAAACGCTAGCTCTGTAACGTTGCCAAGACAGGTGTGAGCTCTGGCTCCCTGCAGCAGGAGAGTTTGCCACACATTCTTTGCCTGATTGAGAGCTAAAAGGGCCTGATTTCATTTCCGCAGGTGCTCGCTGAAATCTCTCGCTCTTCAAACACATCTTCTTAACCTTTGCATTCCGACTGTAACCCTTCCTCCCCCCCCAGAACGAACATGCTCTACGGAGCGGCTGATTCTGCAGCAGGGCATGAGTATTGTTCAGTATCACTTTACAGAAGATGTTATAACAAGCTCATCACCAAAATATTTGAGCATCCTTCAGAAATGCTTTAAGCATTATCACTAACATTTGTCGTTGCTAATGCTTTGCTCCTCTACCAGGAGAAGAAGAGTTTGCAATGGAATATTTTGCTTGGGCCTTATTTATACTGAGGTGGAGATATACTTATAAATTGGCCACTGGCTACCACAGCTTGCTGTGTTTGAATTTTACAGGTACCTATGCATAGGTTTATGCTATGGAACGTGAAGTGAAAGGAGCATATCTGTCATGTGGAACAGTAAGTGGTGAGGTCTGCATCAATCCTAAATCCCTGTAGGAGTTTGTTCCACAGTCCTCAGGCAGCTCCTCAGAAATCTGCAATTTCATCAGAGACAAGCTGTGCTCAAACAGTTTTGGAGATCCAAATTTATCAAAAACGGTGTGTGCAAGAATCGTAGATTTTCTTTGTGTTCTGGGAACATCCACAAAACACGGTGAATGTCCTTTCCCCAAGGCAGCAGCTAAAAAGCAGTGTACTGATGGAACAAGTCAAGTAATCAGTAGTCTCTGTGCCTTTTGATACACCTTTGCTATCCTTGAATTTTTTTGAAACACAGTAGTTTTCAATTATCACATAAGGTTCATTCCTGCCAGTAATAACTCCTCTGTTATTCTAGGTGCCAAAGGTTCAACCCATTCCACAGGTTTTACCAGCAGCGGGATCACCTGTGGATCCCAGGCCTCCCGGATGATGTCCCAGGAGGCCAGATCTCATGGAGGTGGAACTCCCAGTGGCGGTACAACTTCCACTGTCCAGTCCATCTGTAAGTGAGAGTCCTCCTGAGAAAGTTGAACTGCCAGGTGACTTCTGGGAAGTCAGCAGTATTCCAGCTCAAGCGTACATTTACTAGATGAAGGGATGTAAACAAGAGAAGTGGCTGCATTGTACTTGAAGCAACATTTCTCCTGTTTGTTGCTTTATACTTGGTGGGAAGCTGAAGCTAAGGAATCAGTGGAAGTAACTATGCCACAAAATTGCAAAGATATGGGTGGATAGCAGAGGCAGGAATAGGAAACACATAGTGACAGGAAGAAGGCCAATAGCAATTTAGGTTATGCATTCATCAGCACCACAGTGGAGGTTCATTAATTTTTTTTCAAACACAGATTCAGGACCAAACCAAAAGCTTCACATTTGAACATACAGAATGGGTCAAGGGGGAGGAAACAGTGAAATGTGAGAATGGAGGTATCAGACTGACAGACAGGAATCGTTAGTCCATGTTTTGTGGCCTTTTAGAGCAGCTTAGCTTTCTTTCCGTTAAAGGAAATTCATTGGGTCAAAAGCAGGGGAATCTACCTGCACTTACCACCTCAAAACAGAGAACAGCATGAGTTTTTCTCATGCCAAGTCAGTGCAGCCCACACTTAGATAAATCAAAACAAGTTATGAGGAAGCCAAGTCTATACCTGAATGCATCTATATGGGTGCTAATTATGGTCGTGGGATCCTACAGGGCTTGGAAGAGAACTGGAGATGAGATTGAAGTTCTTAATTTCAAAAAGTTTTTTAAAGTGTAACACAGACCTTTGGTCTCTGACCTGGGGACACTGGTAACCAATGCTCAGATATTCTGTTTGTTTCCCTGTACTGCAACTTTCCTTTAAGTTGTTCTCACAAGTTTCTGCATGTTTGTCCTTAGCAATGGGTGGCAAAGGTGGAAGACGTTGAATTGAAGAAAACATCAGCCCAGAAGTAAGCTCTGCAAGCAGTTCACCCTTTCTTTACCAACAGAATCATTTGACAATTTCTCCCTTTCTTTGCTCTCTTTCACAGACATGAAAGGCAAAGGCTATATGATGCACAAATAAAGTTTACATTAAAATGATGGATTCTTGCATTAGATTAGTGGGGATGGGGATGAGGGGCAGTTTCTTCCTTGATTAAACATTCTCTGAAGTGCAGACACATACAAGCAGTAAATGGATAAATGGAAACTAAGGTACTTTGGCCTGCAAGGGTGTCTTACCAAAAGCCAGGGTTTAGGAACACTAGAGTCTCCAATTACAGGTAGCTTGCCTTGTTTATTTTACAAAAAGTGATCACAGTGCAAAAGTCACCCTGTTGTGAGAGAGAAGCATAGAAACACCTGATAAGGGGCATTCAGCGGTTCCCTTGGGATGTACTTCTAATGGGCTATCAGATTCAATTCTACTCAATTAAAAATACACATCAGCAAACAAGAACAGGTCCCAGGAAATTTCAAACCTCAGAGGTGCAATTCATACTTGTACCCCTCCGGTATTTCTAAGGTCTTTTTCACATCAATTTAATTTTAAGTCCCTGATTGCTTTTTGAGAGGTGTCAGTTTCATCACAACTGGACCAAAACTACTCCTGTTAGCATCTTACTATACCTGAGAAAAGATAAAGAGCCCATCTTCTCTGGTATAGGTCTCACTTTTGGGGCCTCTTGCTGTTCCTCACTCCTTTCCTTCACATGTACTCATAGAATGACGATTCCCCAGATACACATAGCATCGTCCATTACATATACAAATTCCTACACACATACTATCCCACATTTCCATCTTCCTCCTGTCTTTCTGGCTTCTCATCCTCACTCCCCTATCACCTCCCTCCTTTCGTATTTCTAACAAAACCACACAGTGCAGCTTCTCCTTCCCTTTCCCCAACCCAAGACAGGGGGAAAAATTCTCACACCTTCAGGCCAGAAAGTCAGAGGTGCTGAGCTCGTGGTGCTGCAGTCAGGGATTTTCTCCAATGGCTTCTGCCACCCAGCTTCATCATTTTCATCTCAGCTGCACCTCTTTACATCTGGGAGTCTTCTTTGTTGCAAGGTTGCGCTTAGTCCAATGGATCATTAAATACATACTTAATAATGATGTATTTTTGAGTTTCCCACTTCAGAGGTTCACCAACAAATATGCTTTCCTGAACTGGCACCTAGGCCTAAAAGTCCTGAAGATGGGACTAGAATCATCCTTTGAGGAGCTCAGTGCCTCCCAGTGCCACCACTGAGAACTGATGCGGCGTTTGGAAATCACACGCTGTCACATCAACAGGAACGAATGTTTTCTCTCTCCCCATTCTTTCTGTACAATTACAGATTTAGAGATTTCTTCACACAATAGTAGTATCTTACATTTACATGTTAGATTGCATAGTTAAGGGTCCTGAACTGTTTTGTTCCCTGCAAGGGAAATCTGGCAACATAATCACATGCGAACTTTTTTTAAGGTTGGACACATTTTAAATCAACTTGCGTGGTAGTTTACATGCTCATGTGCACGTGAAGCTTCCCTACTCATTGTCTGCATGCTGGTTAACTATTGCTTAATTATTACCACTGCCATAAATACCTAATTGTAATATGACTGTTGTATTCTGTAACAAATGAAGATGTGGAATGAAGAACATCATGTCCAGGTGAGATGAAAAAAAATTTAAGCTGTATGCAGTAAAAAAAATGGAAGCATTCAAGACTCACAGACAACAACGAGACTCAAGGGTCTGTGAAATCTGACTTAGAAATGTGGAGCATCCACTCTGAAACAGTATTTTAAGTGTAATTTTCAGCCTTTCTTCCAGCATGTCTCTATTCTCCTCCAGCACCTCTCCAGATCTCAGCCACCTCTCTGCAACGATGATTTTCACACATGCCCCAGTCACCATTAAGCACAAGGTGAAAGGTTTGGCCAGACACAAACAGTGGGATCTGGAAATTGGTGTCACTAACCCCTGCAGAGGGAAGGGAGGGTGAGGCTGCTGGTTTTATTCTGACAAAGTTTCTGTCTGGTTCTTCCGTTGTGGTTGTCCCTGCTTATAACAGGCCTGCCTTTCCCACTGTCCCCACCTAAATAGCCTCCAGTAAAGCAATCCTCTTTCCATCTCACTTTCAAACCTGCTCCATGGTCATCCTTGACCCCTTTTACGGCAGCAACCTCACAACTGCTCCAAGACCTCTGCAGGGTGCTGGTACTTTCCCCTCCCACCATGGGTCCCCCTCTACCAGAGCTGTTCTGGAGCACTTCGCTGCCTTGTGCTCTGCCCCGTGACCTCATGTCACCTCTCAAAAAGGCTGCAGCCGCTTTGTCAAACAGCTACTGGGGTACAGGCAGAGAAAGCTGGCTACGTGCCCAAGAGCATAGCCAGACTTTTCTAAGGCACTGAGCGTTCCTTGCTCGTGATGACTTCCTCCTGGTTCTGCCATCTCGCCACACAGGAGGGAGAAAGCATATGGTACCGGTGTAAGGCAGTGTGATTTTGACTGAACAGCATTTTATGTCTATTTACTGAAGATTAAAATATGTGGGCAAGTAAAAGGCAAAGGGGAAGCTGCATCCTGTCTTTATCAATTTTTACAGATCACCAGTGATTCTGCTTTTGCAGCTTTGTCCACCCAGCATAATAAAAATAAAAGCATTGAAACTCAGGATATTTGGCATAGCCTTGTGCAAAGATGGACTCTGCAGGTCGCTGGTCTTTAAGTCTGGGCTAGTACCTGGCACTAATTAAGCCATCCTACACTTTCCTCCCAAGGCCTAATACAGCAGCCTGCGTCTACCAAATTATAGTTGTGATCTGCCAGCAGATCTTTATTCCCTTCCATGACCTTAGCATGTGGTACAGCAAGAAGGTCTCTCCTAGCTTTTTTCCATTCAGAGATTCCCCCCATGTGCAAATGCCAAGGAACACTCTCAAAGAACAGCAAGGACCTAGATTCCCACAGGCAGGCATTCAAACACCTGTTTTAGCTATAATGATGTTAAATTGAGTTGTAACAATAAAACTAATGCAAGAATGACAAGAAATAGTAGAAAACATCAAGCACATACATAACTCATCGGACAGTTTTATATACTGAAGCTGTATTATCTGAGAAACTGTGTGTGACCACCTCAGGACAATTAAATGTGTTGTTTCTTCTATACCTGCAGAGGGGGAAGATTTAAAACTGGGTTCGAATTTCTTGACCTCAAGTGCTTTTGTCTTGTTAAAAAATGACTATCATTAGTGAGACCTGACAGAAGGTATTTATGCCTAAAAGAAGGAAAACCAATCGAAACCAAAGAAAGGATCACATATCATTTCTGTTTTCAGCACTTACAGGATTCTGGCATTGCTAGTTTGGATTATTTTTCCCATCTTTAGATCTTGTTGTGTTGAGAACTATCCTCGATAGCTTTGCTGAGGCAGGGAGCATCCCCAGCTGCATTTGAATTCACTTCACTGAGTCAGCTGTAATAGGAGTACGGGAGAACAAAGGCAAATGCTTCCTCCTGAAAGCCTTACTCGCAGCCCACTTAAGCAAATTCGTATGTACATTACTACAAATGAAGTATTTACATTTTTAACAGAATATAATTGAAAAGGTCAAATAACAACAAATATGGCAATCTAAATCCCTCACGTCTCTCAATCAATCTTTCCACAACAAATAGACAGAGAGAAAGAAAGGAAGAGAGGCAGCCCTGTGTGATTACCGGAGCAATAGCACTGAAGCAATACACTGCAGAGAGCACATAGCTCTCTCCACGGAAATCAATTTCTCCCATGGGATGGGGTCGATAGTTGTCTGACAGGACAGTATACAGGCAATTTAATAGCATTTTATCTAAATTAATCTATTCCTCCCCCCTCACTGGCCTCACAGTTCATAAGAAGGGTCTCTTAGTAAAATAGATTTATTTATTTATTATCATACAACAGGAAAGTATTCATCATTCTGAAGACGCTACCGTTGTCTATTAAAAACCATTTATCCCTGTTAGTTGCTTATTACCCGCAACCCTTTCCCAGCATTGTTACTCTAATTGGTTAACTCATGCACGCAGCCCATAAAATTCACTTTCAGTTACTCTGGAAACATCTTTCTCACCTCAAAACATCTTTAACTTTAGGTCACCATTTCAGGAAAAATAAATCCACAAAGCAGGCAAACTCAGTTGACTAGAAGGGGTCTTGGTATTGAAATGACATTTTTATGCAAGGAAAAGCTTATTTTTTGAGGAATGCATTATACACAGAGATTGGTTGTCCAGTGTATCTATTTTAATGGTACTTAATAAGTAATAAAGCTGAGCTGATCTTATTAGTGAATATCTGTGTGAAGGAAACGGTAATGAATGAGAACCCCTAATAAGCATAATTCCAAGGATGGATCTCTGGAGCTCTGGGAGTTTGGTATTGTGCCCCAAAGGCTCTTGTAAATCCAGCTGCAGTTCTTGCTCATCATTTAGAAGATTAGGGGCTGATAAGCGACAGTCAAGCCTTATTAGAACAGGCTAAGGCAACAGGAAACATTAATTGGGGAATTTAACGCACAAGGAGACAATAAATGCCTGCATTGTGGTTCAGGTGCTGTTTCCTCTGTTGATTTGTTCATGTCTTGCTTCTGAAATTGTCACAAATTCTAGGTGGAGAGACTGTAAGATAAAGTCTAAGTTTAAAAACCCCAGAATACTTTTATTTCCTATAGCTTCCCTTTACCTCTTGCATTACTAAGGGACTCAGCAGCAGCCCTGCCCTTGGAAGCCGAAAACTGAAGACTACTCCCTTGCCCAAGGAACTCCTCCAGGAAAACCAAGGAGAGACTGAAGGTATAGCAGCTACCTGCAGTGAAACGGCATCTCACCATGTAACTTGGGTCACGTTTTCATCCCGTCACGCACACATGGCAGGAGTGCTGTGACCCTGAGAGGAAGCCCA